AGTTATGTCAACAGAGTGATGATTGGAGAAATAGGAAGGGATGCGATTACAATCGGTTTCGAAAATGATGTCCTCCAGGTTCTGGTTATGTGTCCAGTTGATAGCATGAAGAAGAGCAAAGGCTTTACTAATGTGGGGTTCCAAACAGCCTTTGATAGTGGTTGAACGAGCTCTAACAAAGGCACCTTGATGGTCTCTAATGCAGATGCCTATTCCAGTAAGTCCTTCCACTGGAAAAGAGTGAGTGGCAATGTTGCACTTAAATGACCCTTGGGGGGGGAGGAGACCACCGCTGTCTGGTTTGGGTTTTAGTGCGCTGGACCAGGTCGATTCTGTTAGCAGTGGCCCAATCATGAAGCATGGAGGAGGCGCGAAGATTGATCTCGTCTGGGTTCCAAGGAGTGTTACTCCAATGCAAAGCGTTCCGGCTGTGCCACATGCTCCAGAGAATCATGGAAAATTCTGCAGCAGCTTGAGGGGTCCAATGCTGTAAAATATGAGATATGAGGTTAAAGACACCATCAGAGGAGTTGATCAAATTCAAGATACAAGAGTGAAGATTACTTCCCTGCCAGCACAACTTGGCTGATGGACAACTAAAGAAAGTGTGCCAGGTGTTTTCGATATCAGTATTACATCGGAAACATGTACTTGGGCAACGAATGCCTTTCTTTTGAAGGTTTGGCCGCGTGGGAAGGATGTCTCGCATCAATCTCCATATGAAATGCTTAATTTTGTGGGGAATGCGTAGATTCCAAATGTTTTTCCATGGACCAGGAACATTGAGATTACCCATGGAGAGGCAATGCTGGAGATAACCTTTATAAGCAGAACGAACAGTGTAAGAACCCGAGGGATTCCATTTCCAAATACGTTTATCTTCACAGTGTGGGTTGAGAATAGGAATGTTGAGTATCCGGTTGCTGGTGTCCTTATCTAACAGGGAATTAATCAAAACATCGTTCCAACCATTCTTATCATTGCTCATCAGATCAGAAACTTTAAAAGCTTGGCTATTTGAGGGGTCATGAGGGTGAATACAATGGTAATTGTCATTGTATTTGATCCAAGGCTCGCCCCAAACAGGAATGGTATTCCCATTCCCAAGCCTCCAACAGATACCATTCTTAAGTAGATGTTGGGTGCTCCAAAGACTTTTCCATGTATAGCTGGGATTGTGGCCCAGTGAAGCATTGAGAAAGCTACCTTTGGGGTAGTATTTTGCTTGGTAGATTCTACGGATCAGAGAGTTTGGATTGCTAAGAAGTCTCCAAGCTTGCTTACCAAGCATAGCAAGGTTAAAGGCAGATAAATTTTTGAAACCAAGTCCACCCTCAAGTTTGGAGATGGCTAGCCTTTCCCAGCGCATCCACTTAATTCCCTTGTGCTTATTTGAATTTGCACCCCACCAGAAGGCATTTAGTAATTTCTCAATCTCATCTATGGTGCGGTTTGGAATCATGAAGACACTCATAGCATATGAAGGGAGAGCCTGCAGAACAGCCTTGATGAGGGTCTCTTTTCCTGCTTTAGATAACGATTTGTGGCTCCAAGACTATAGTTTTTTCAATATGCGTTCCTTGATAAACCTGAAAACTTCGTTTTTATTTCGTCCAATCATAGATGGGAGTCCAAGGTACTTACCAGTGGTCACGCATTTCTGGACATGCAGAGTATTAGATAACATAATGTGAGTAGTAGGAGGTGCATGTCTATTCAGGAATACTTCAGATTTATCGTAGTTTATGGCTTGACCAGAGGCTACCTCAAAAGTTTTCAGTATGGTAGCAACCTCATTGGTCTCTTTCTCAGAAGCTTGGAAGAAAAGGAATACATCATCCGCGAACATGAGATGATGCAGTTTGGGAGCACCACGACAGATTTGAATGCCATGCATGTTCCCTAGACGTTCAGCTTTATAAATAAGGCTAGATAATCCTTCCATACCTAGAATGAAGAGGTAGGGGGAGAGGGGGTCTCCTTGTCGGAGACCTCTACCAGGAACAATGGAACCAACTCGATTTCCATTAAGTAGGACTTGAAAATGAACGGAAGTTATACACATCATCATCCAACTTACCCATTTTCTGCAAAAACCAAATCGCTCCAAGATGCAACGTAGATAGTTCCAGGAGAGCCTGTCAAAAGCCTTGCTTATGTCGATCTTCAAAGCTGCTTCATGTTTAGTTCTCTTTCCGCTACAACGTAGGTAGTGGATAGCTTCAAACGCTACGAGCACATTGTCTGTGATAAGGCAGTCTTGAACAAAAGCAGCCTGTTCGAGGGAGACGCACTTTTGGAGAAGAGGTTTTAGACGATTTGCTAAAGCTTTCGAGAGTATTTTATATATCACATTACAAAGAGCAATTGGTCGAAGCTCTTTCATGCTTGATGGATTAGGACACTTTGGGATTAATGCAATCACTGCGTCGTTGATGTGTGGGGGAAGCTCACCAGCTTCGAGCCAAGAGTTGCAAGAGGAAAGAATGTCTTCGCTACAAACCTCCCAAAATCTTTTGTAAAAACCAGGATTGAATCCGTCAGGCCCTGGAGCTTTGTCTTTGTGCATCTAAAAAAGAGTCGTACGAAGTTCTTCTCTTGATAAGAGCGTTGTGAGTTGCTCATTATCCAGTTGGGAGATCTTACAATCCAAGGTATCAGTTATAGCTTGAATCTCCCCTAGAAGTGTGGTGAATAGGTCCTGAAAGTATGAGCATGCAAGGTTACCAAGTTCGGTAGGGGTGGAGTGTTGTTTTCCTTCAGAGTCGTAAAGAGTGGAGATATGGTTTTTCTGACGACGTATGTTCACTGCTGCATGAAAAAATTTTGTATTGGAGTCCCCATCTCTTAACCAAAAAGTTTTGGCACGTTGACTCCAATAGGAATCCATGCAACGTAGTTGGTGGCTGAGTTAGTGTTGTAGCTGAAAGTATAGACTCCAATCAGTAGTACCCTGGGCGTTTATGCATTTTTCCATATCACGCTTAAGGATATCAATAGATTTGCACAAGTTAACATGCTTTCGTCTACCCCAAATATGAAGATATCTACTGCAAGAGCTGATCTTATTCTCGGCACCCTTTTTGTTATGATAGTTCCAGCCATACCTAACAGCACGATCGATGTCTAGGTCTTCCATCCAAATATTCTCAAAACGAAAATACTTATGTAGGGGGTTAGAGAGGTTAGCATGAAGCTTGAGAGTAATAGGAGAGTGATCAGATTTACCTGCGACATCGTTTGATAGGAGACAGTTTACAAATAAGTGACACCAATCCTTAGTAACCAGCGCTCTGTCAAGCCGTTCTTCGACTAGGTTGTTTGGGAGGTTTCCTTTGATCCATGTATACGGGTGACCAACTAGGGGAAGGTCCTCTAAGTCGTAGTCTATCGTGGCTTGACGGAAACCTTGTATCAAATAATGGGGATGGGGATTCGTACCTCTTTTGTCAAAAGGTGATAATATGTCATTAAAATCACCAATGATACACCAGGGGAGGTTTGAGAGTGAAGCAAGATGTCTACGGAGGTCCCAAGAGTCTTTTCTCTTACGTCTCTCAGGGTAACCATAGAAACCGGTGAGTCTCCAATGGTTGTTATTTTGATCTTTAACATTGGCCTTTATGTAATTTGAATTGGCTTGGGTTATAGTAATGTCAAAGCTATCATTCCAGAGAAGAGCGAGTCCACCACCACGACCAATCCTATCAACAGCAAACCAGTGGTTGTAATTCAAAATGTGACTCAAATCTTTGATTCTATCAGAGTTGACCATGGTTTCACTCAGAAAGAGTATATCAGGCTTATATGAGCGGGTAAGGTCCCGTAATATCAAAATTGCACGCTTGTGCCCGATTTCGCGGCAATTTCAGCTTGTTAAACTCATAATTCCTGGCAGCCCTGAGTGCCAGGGACTGCAGATAAAAAAGTCAGATTGTTGTTTTCATTGGAGTCATCCATGTCAGCTTGAACAGAATCTTTATGATGTTCTGGGTTGGTATTAGGTTCCTGTCTTCTACGTTTCTTATCGGCTCCAACGATAACCTCATTAGCGTGTGGGTGCAAGTCATTGGTAGGATCCGCAGGTTCACGCATGTTATTTTGATATTTATGGTTATCATTTGTGGTATTGTTGTCATCCTGAAGCCATCTTTCTCCTCTGAAACTGGGGATTAGGCGAAAATCAGCCCGCAGTTCTGGGCCCCAAAGACGAATACCATCGTCGTCTTCTTGTTCGAAGAGTCTTGGACAAAACTTGTCATTGTGCCCTAGAATACCACACAAATAACAAAACTAGCCAATTTTTTCATACTTAAAATCATCAGTCTTCCATTCTCCACCTTATTTTTATTTACTGATAATTTATTTTAAAAATATTAAAATTTAATTCATAAATAATAATAATAATAAATAAATAAATTACATATGAAATTGAAAGAATCCTTAAAATCTTATCAACAAAGAAAATTTTCTAAAATCACTTTCGCATTAAATAATTAGTTGTATTTTATATATAAGAGTTAATTATTTTGTAACTAATTATAATTATAGAATAGTACATGTGTATTCATTTAAATGAATATTTATAACAATGCATTGTTCTCAACTCTCAAAATTTCTTTAACATAAAATACTTCCAAAATAAATATTTATAATTATGTGTAAAAAAAACTCAAAATTATTGTCCGTATTTCTCCAAGAAGTTAATGTCATATTTTTTTCTTTTCATCTTACATCACCCGCTACCAAATATATTTACAATAGTAAAAAAAACAAAAAAAAAAACTCGTGCACGTGTATCAATATTATAATTCCTATCTCTTTTTCAATTTTTTGTCACTCTGAAATCGTGAATCTTCATCAAAATGTTTCTTTATTTTCATTCTTTGATTCTATCTCAAACTCAATCGCTCAATTAAGTTTTTTTTAATAATGGAAAAATAGATCTTTTGGTTACTTTTCTTGATTTGTGTTTGTTTCTAGTTTTAAGTATTGAATAAAATGCTTAGTTTTACATTAATTGTAATGACACAACAAGTTTTTACACTTTACAACTTAACATCTAGACAGTGAAAAATATAAATCTAATTGTATAGGATTACCATGTAAATAATTCCTAAATATACATGCAATAATGTATATATATATACATATATATATATATATATAGGAAATAATCAATTGAAAATGTAAGGGTTCCTCAGTAAAACTACAATACAATCTTGTATAAATGCACACATTGCAACTAGAGGTCTCTATCTTGCTCACATCAAATGTAGGATTGGTGATGCCGGGCATGAGAAGAGAGATTTACCTCGAGTTGAAATCTCATTGGACATGATTTGAATGACATCAAAAGTGAAGAGAAAATATCATCTATGACTGGATTGATGTTGGGGGCTAATGAAGTGGTGTCAAGCGAGAATTAAGCAAAGGCTCTCTACTTGATTGGGGTCGGGCGTGGATTTTGCCACTCTTGGCACAAGAGTGGAAGGCTCTTTGTTTTAACCACATCGGACGTAGGTAGTTTGATGTCGAGAGTGAGAGATATGAAATCCCATGCCTCAATGATGTCGGACGTCTAAGAGATGGCACAAAGCATGAGTTGCTTGATTAAAACGTGATGTTACGTTAATTGAATGATTGATGGATTATAAATGTTGTATGAAGATAGCTTATTATGCATTGGTTTGAGATAATGTATAATGATGTTTATGTTGTTAAGTTGTATGTTGATAGATGATGATGTTGTATAGTTGTATGATGCTATAGTTGATCAAGATGGTAAGTTGTCAAGCATGTGGTATAGATGTATTTCTTTATTAATATACATAAAAACTATAAGAGAGTAAAAGATGTTTTAGAAATTAAAATATTCCATTAAGCATATATAAGTTATGGTATTCTAAGAGCCTAGTTAAGAACCTTTCAATAAGTAAGTTAGTTTCTAAATGGATAGTTATTTTAAATTTGTCTCCTCTAGGTTTTATGTGGGCAAGGTCGAGACTAACGTGTATAAAGTGATCAACCAAGTAAGATATAAGGTCAAGGGTTCAGTTCTTAACTAAGTATTGGAAGGGCATAATATTTAGGGGATAGTCAATGGATTAATCCCATAAAGGCTTAGTGTTGAACACTAATGTCGTGGTAGACTTATCCCCAAGCTCACCCCCCCTATTTTCCTTATAGTTGGAATTGCAATACTCATACTTTGTATGAGTGCAGGGCATGATTGATAAGATTGGCTTGTCCAAAATTTGGAGGGTCATGTTGAAGAAAACCAATTTTCTACAATTTTGGTTGTGTATAGATGTTCGACCAATGAGTAAAGCTTATTTTTGTATACAATTATGTATTTGATGTAGTTATCTATGTATATATGTATAAGGTATGTATATAACTCTATGAATGATTTATGATTTTAGTATTTTGTTTTCTATCATATGCATGTATAAACAATATGATTGTTTATATAACTGTTGCATGAGAATCTTAGACTAATTATTTGCCATTTAATCTTTCTATTGAATAGTGATTAAACTATACTGAGTGTAGTAATTTATCGGGACATTACAATTATAATAAAGTTGACTTAATGGTAATATTTTTCTTCCAACTTTCTTAAGTTATTATTAACTGTGGAAAATTAATAATTAAGAACAATTTTAAAATACAAGTAAGAAAATTCTCAATAATAGACCTTATTCATGTAAGAAAATTATTTCCTGTTGTGTTTTATTTATAAGCTTATATTGATTGCTTTCCAATCTTTATTTTAAAAAAATATGAATTTAATTTAATTTTTTAATATTTTAAACTTCAATAATTTAATTATTTTTTCTAAATATTGTAGTATCATTCTATCTCAATAATTTAATTAGATCTATATTTCATTTGAGTGATGTTATTATTATTAAATGATTGTTTTTATGTTATTAAAAGATGATATAACGAAAATACACTCTCAATCAAGCCCCGTCCTAGGGCTTGAAAATCTGGGCATCTGTTTAAGGCCCATTACAGGAAGGGGCTCTCAGATAAAACACCTCTAATTTTCAAAAAAAAAAAACTCTTTTTATATTAACTTTTCATTCTTTTTTAGTTAAATCTTTAATTAATCACCACAAATTTCAAGTTTGTAACAAATATCATAAAACATTAATTTATTTTTTTATTTATAAAAGACATGGAAAGTAGGAAAAAAGAAAAGATAATAGTGAAGCCTTCTTTGATTGCACAAAGCTTCTTTCCTAATTTTGATTCATAGTAAGCAACAATTATAGAAAATAAATATTTTGTCCATAATAAAGGATAGCATAGAATTCTATTGAAGAAAAAATGTAATACATTTTGTTGAAGGTGTGTTAAATCTTGTTCATAGTATGTAAAACTATGTATTATTTTTTTATATTAAAATTACATGATTATTTTTTATATAATATTTAAATTTTGAAATATTTATAAATAAAGAGCATTGTAAAAAGGTTAGATATTATATCATACAACTTATTAAAATACACCGTACATCATATAGGTAGCAAAATCTAGATAATTATATAATTATATTAAAGATAAATTAACTAATTGGTTTTATAATCATTATTATTCAATATTAAATAAGTTAATCATAATACATTAATTAATGTAAAATTAATTAGCATAGTTTTATGAAATGAACATCAGATAGTATTTTCATTCAAGTTAAAATTCATTAGCTAGACTTGTTTCTTCTGGTACTCTTATTTGGACCAATATCTCTTTATTCATCTTGTTGAACATTCCATACCACTCAATCAGTGAAATTTTTTTTTATCGTTAAAAAAAATCAAAATTTTAATTTCAAATTTATGAGATATTATTCAGGTATAAAATAATATTATTTATCTTTAAAATATTATAATTATTTTAGGATTTTTTAAAATTAAAATATTAGTTCAATAAATAGAACTTTTTTGCGTGGTTGATATTTTTTTTGTTAGGTCATATTGTTTCCTATTTTTGTTAGGTTATATTATTTCTTTTTCTCTTTCCAACATCTATATACCTCAAAATCTGAAAACATCAATTCTACATCTTCAAAGCTACAAAATCGACAGTTTAGATTGCATTAATTTATATGTTCATTCCGAAGAATCAAACACTACTATATATATA